CAACTGCGTGAAACACACAGTAGTATGAAACTTCAACTGCGTGAAATACACAGCAGTATGAAAATTCGGCTGCGTGAAACACACAAACTTCACGCATGCGTGGAGTGTATGGAGTGTACGGGAGTGATTCACGCAATGGTGCGAATAGTCACGGCCTAAAATTTATAATGCCACCTATGTCTGATGGGGATTTTATTGACTGGGCATTACCATGAACCACAGGTGCTCTAGCACTGTCATTGTACCGATGAAGATATCCTCTTGATGCATGAATCCACTGTGATGTTTCATGTACTTGGGGTCCACTGGGTGCCCGTTTACTCTTATATCTCCATGCACTATTACGCCAGCTGGCAATCATTCGTGGAAGTCATAAATCAATTTAAACAGTTTAATTTTGTTGGGAACTTTGAAAGTCAAAGCTATAATGAATTTAGAAATGGCCTGTGGTTTGAAAATTCGTACTGAAACCAGTCAAATTCCATTTAAACTATTCCATTTAAACTACTTCAAAGATCTCCAACATAATGAGATTCATAAAAAGAAATTATCACAATCGTTTTAGGTAAATTCTTCCATCTCACAAATTATTTTCTCAAGTATACGTGTGGCATTAACTTACGCGCAGTTCGATACGCAAGTGCTGTCATGAGAGAACTCTTCCCTGCGCCACTCCCTCCCAATATCGCGGTTAAATCCCCCGGTTTCAGAACTCCACGAACTAAAACACAATTGTAAATTCACTTGACTCGCAATTCCTCAGAAAAATCCACTGGTTTTGCTCGTCGTTACCATTATTAATTAATTGTTTGCAAATACTGCTGCTTCCTCGATCCACAGCGTAAACCGACAAATCTCTCCAGGATAAAGTGACGCCCTGGCTGTCCCCTGTAGCCCCAGGGGTCAAAGGCCTCATTAGAAATCCCTTGGATTCGCGATCTTCCGGGAATTCCATTATTACGAATAAATAAATAAATTCATAGGGAATTCTCTCACTTTCTCTCTCCACAATGCATTCATTAAATTTCTTGGAATTTTCCGATTGCCCTGGTTAATTTTTTAATTAGTTAACAATTCAACTGATGAATTAATTTATTTAATTATTTCGCTATTCAATGAGAAACACATTTTTTCGGTTCAATGACACTAAAGATATTTCAATGAATTAACACCACTGCGGCGGGTTCGCCACCCATTCCCTTCGGGAAACCTTAGCGCTGAAGCGCGACTGGGACCTCTTAGTTACCGAACCCGACTGCCCCGCGAGGGATTGAGAAACGCAGCACCGGTTCAGCTCTGCGATGAAGGGGGAAACGACCGATAGACTGTGTAACTCAGTGCACAAATCCGATGAGTATCAATGGATCTTCTGACTAATCTCTACTCCAAGAATAGTTCACTCGTCAGAGTAGAAAAATCATTCTCTTATTTTTTAATTTCTCTGGAGGGAGATATCTATCTGAAGGATTAATGTAACTGAACACTGAAACCCTACACTTGCACCGGCCTTGCAATACTCCTTTCTGATGGAGTAAACAAATACAGAAAAGTTATGTTTAAAAAATGAAGTGAATGCACATGGCCATTGATTGAAATTCCGGAATTATTAATTTTTGAGATCTAATCGACGATTCTTCAAATACTAAAATGAAAGGATTAAAATGAAATGAGATTTCCTTTAGCAAAAAAATCTTATCGACGATTATTCAAAATAATAATGAAATAATAATTAAAAAATTGCAAATATTTATCGTAATAATCATCAAGGCATGACCATACTAGAGTAAAAGGAAAAAAATGAGACAGAATTTCGTCTAGGAAATTAAACAATCGCCTGGAAGAATGAAATGAAATTACATGTCTGTTAATTAAAGTTTTGCAATTATCAATAATCGAAAAATTCTGTAAAATAATTATAAACGATTATCGCAATTAGGGTGAATTAATTAAAGGTATTGATCGTGATCATCATCAAAGCATCAAATACTAAAGTAGAAGAAATAAATGAGAGAAATTCAGGAAATTAAACAGTCGCTTCGATGAATCAATCAAAGGAATTATTCTCTTGCGCCGGAATGAAAATTTTTTGTCGTAAAAATAGATTTAGCAGTTCGGTTCCACCAAATGTTCATTCGTTAACAGTTAACGAATGTATATTTGAGGAGCCTTGTTTGACTTGACTTTCGCCATTCAAGTGAACCATTCGTTAACTATTAACGAATATTCATTTGGTCATATTCAACTCTACCATTCGTTAATAGTTAACAAATCTCGTTTGGAATAAATGAATCATTCTATCAGTGTATGAGATATTTTCATATCTACTGAACACGAAAGAACTAAATTTCCTTGAATTATCAAGATAAGTCAGAAATTTCCTGAGAAATTTAATCTGAAATCGAATTTAAGATTACAACATTGAAAAATGACATAAATACGTCACGTAAATTTAAAAATTCCCTCCCAACGTCATGTACAATTGATTATTTCTCATGTTCATTTCTGTGGATCATTATTAATAAGTTTCTCTTAATGAGGACGTCCCACGGGGTGGCTAAATGAAAAAACGATGAAAAAACATTTCAAATTAGTTCTTATTCTCCTAGCCAACATCTCTAAATCCAAAAGAGCTAAAAAATCCTTGAGATAGTAGTTAGACTTAACCTTGATAGCCTAGTTGTCTGGTGTGAATTATCCGCCTCTTTGAGCCAAATTTTCGTTGCTGTCGAAAGCAGAGCAATTATTCATGTTTGAGACTTTCAAATTCGAACGAAACAAATTCTTTTTTGCCAATTTTCAACTAGCGATTTTGTTGGCCCAAACAAGATTCGTTTGACAACGTGTTTTTTTTCTCTCAGTGTGGTTCAGAGTTGAAAGAAATGACTTCGTGGTGAGTGATATCAGGTGTCCCCCGCACTTCCCATGCTGGCATTTCACTCAAAATCTTATACCCCCCTGCATTTTCATGGGGCGGTATCCCCTCTCCCCTCACTGTTTTTTTTCATTTATATAACATACAAAATGTGATGCGGTCGCACGGTGTACCTATCAACCGGTTTGTCATGACACCGATATCGAGGTGGTCAGGACGTCTATACGCACTGGCAGGAAACGCCACTGGAAAATGTACGATTTTAAATCTCAAGGGACAGGTTGCGGTGTCAACGCAGTCGGAACCAATTTCGAGTTATTGTCAGTCGAATCATTTATTATTCAATCCAATCATCTCCCGAGCGTACGGTCACCGAATGCGAATGGACAAATGAAAGAAATAACACGTATTCAATCATTGCATCAATTTATTTTTCATCTTTTATTTTATTATTTCAATTTATTGAATATATACAATAATTGAGGCATTTAGAACTTCTGAAATAGTCAAATTACAGACAGTATTCTATTCTTCAAGCAAATATAAATACGAAAGACCAAAAGATGATCCCATAAGTGAGATGTCAAAATACATTTCTTTGTCTCAAAAAATGTAATTTATTTCATTCATTTTATTTGTCATTTTATTTCTATATCTTAAAAATAATTATTTGTAACAGAAAAAATTGATGGAAATAAGTTGATTGAAATAACTTTCTCCATTTAGAAATATTCGAAATAGAAAATCTGGACCAATGGCTTCTTAACTTCATCAAATACTCTCATGTCTTTCGTAAAGTTTTCGATAGCAATGCCAAAAACGCGAAGAACCTGAAGCTGACGATGAGAGCGCAGAGGGCAATGATGTCCATGTTAAAGTCCCCCTGAAACAATGAGGAATAAAACACAAGTGAAGCGCGTTTCATTTTACCCTGTAATTTTTCGGAGATGACAATTGAAATTGGATGCTAAGAATTACTGAATCGGAATGACCACAAACCTCGGTGAAGTTGTAGGTTTGCAGAACCATGTGGCCGGTCTTGGGACAGGTCGCATTACTGCGCGTGCAGGCTATTGTTTCAACCTCGGACCACTGGTTAATTAGTAGTGCCTCATTACCGTAACGAAACCATGACAGGTAGGAGAACCACTCGAAGTATATGGGGACAGATCTGTTGAGTAAAAAAATTACGAGAAATAAAAAGCGGAGGAATAATGACGAATGAGAGATGAATTCAATTTTTTATGCAGTAACTATTTATATGATCTCAGTAATTATTAGCTGTAGACAGCACAGTCATGAGAAGTTTTTGTAGAAAATTCAATTTCCAAACAATTCCTTTTTTTATTTGGGATTTGGGATGAATTAAAATATCACCAGAGCTTTTTGTAGAGAATTTAATTTTCTACAGAAGGCTTGACGATATTTTTCTCCAGTCGAAAAAAGATGAAGCTTGTCGTCTACTGAAATAAATTCAATATACTTTCGCTCGTTAATTGTTTAATTATTTGGATTACGATTGAGTTTAAGATCATTTTTTTAAAGTATTTTTCGAGGTTTTTGTCTCATCCTCTTCCTTCCAGAACTGTTCACAGAAGAATTGACAAATCGGTTGATTGTATATTAATTTCACTTTAATTAATGATAAAAGGGATGAAGAAACTCACGCTGTATTCAGGAAAAATCCGCCGAACAACAAGAATGGAATGATAACGGGAGGACCAACAGACAAAGCCATAGAAATATTAGTGCTTGCGCAAGAGATGAGATACCCTGTAACAAAGAGTACAGAAAAATTGATTGATTACATTATGCATATGCATTTTTTATTTTTGTCTACATTCTTATAAAAAAATTGAAATTTCGTGGACAATTTAGTAATGATTTTCAAGAGAGCGAAATTTGATTTGCTTCAGGGTTAAAATTCTATGGAATTCTAAATTTTTGGGCAAAAGACATGAATATTCCGTAACTTACTTGAATTTTCAATCAAAAGATGAATATTCAGATCCAAAAAAACGGTCAATTTACTATTAATTAAAAATTTTAGAATATATTCACTTGAATTTCCCTGATTTCTATTAATTTTCATGGAATAATTCAACTGCAATTTAAAGTTTTGATAATTGCAATGACAAAATTTTTGGAAATTCCATTAAAACTGTCACTTAATAACGATTTCCCTTCAAAATCAAAAATGAAAATCATGAAATTTCAATTTTTCTCAGCAGAAAGTCGAGAATTCTTCAACTTACCTAAATTTTCAATCAACACATGAATATTGAGCCCCAATTAACCCCGAATTCTCCAATTTTCATAAATTTTCATGGAATAATTGACCCAAAAGTTACATTTTCCATTGATTTTTCATCAAACTGCGAATTCTCGACGCCGAAATTCTCCGAAATGCCAGTGTCACCCTCACTTAACAGAAATCCCAAAGAAATGAACCGGAAATTGCACCCAAAAAATTATCAACTGCGATATGAATGACATCGCAATCCCCATCGAAATAAAAAACGGATTATTCGAGATTACCGATTGGAACAGTGACCGTTCGTGCAAGAACTCGTGTAACGCGATCACCGTGCTCCCCGTAACTCTATCAGGTGTGAGTGAATATAATACAATCCCACTAGATTCGAATATCTCGCACTCCATAAACCCCTCTCCCTCATTAACTCGAAAAAAAAAATTGAATTCAAAGCAGAAGCAAACGTTTTACCGAATGAAGTGGCGACATTGGCGATGAGCGTCATGATCCCAGCGGCGATGAAGAAGTGATCGATCCCAGGATATAATCCGACCATTGGGTAGACTATTGTCGTAAAGAGGAGAGGGACTGCCACGAAGATCGGCGCCTCCGCGAGAGTTTTACAGATAAAATAAATGTCTGTTCGATACATTCCGTTTCTGTGTTCACGTAGGAATATGGGTAGCTCAGCGCAAAAGACCTAATTGAAACAATACTTGATGAATTTCCAATATTCCTTAATTTCTTACAATAATTCATAATAATTTTTGAGGAAATTTCCAACACACTTTCTGTTAACAATAAAATTATCTCAACAACGAGTGATTCTACGACAAAATGTCATAAGAACATTTTCACGCAGAATTTCCTGAGCTACAAAATTGGTTTTGTGACATTTTACGCTCAGCCGGATCGTTATCGAGATAATTGCACGAAACGAATCATGAAATATGGTATTTGAGTAGTTTCTTACACTGATAACAGCGAAAACATTTTGAAAGGTCATGTTCGTCAGGAAAATAAAGAGGGCACCATTTATGTTCATCACTCCGTCCTGATCCAGCCTTTGCCCATAGTAGATCACTCCGATTAATAGAGACACCATCTGAACATTATTTTATTCTTCATTATTTCTGTCGAATTAAGTGGATCTTGTGATGATGCTCTAAATATTTCTCTCTTTATGAGAACCCATCCATTAATTTTCATTCATCTCTAAGAAATTTGAGAGGAAAAATGATTGCAAATGAATATGTGGATTTTCGTCGACTCACAAACGTCTGCAACAGTCGAACTTTGATGAGAATAGGCTCCTTGATCACCGATAACCATGACCTCCAGAGGACTGCGCGAAACTGCTCGCACCAGGAAGCCTTGTAAGGTGACCTCCCATTGTCTTTCCCCTCGGAAGCCCTCAGAGACTCCTCGAATTCCCCTTGGATCGTTTCCGCCTCGATTGCGATTTTAGTCCCATTGTCACTCCTCTGAAATGCATCGCAGACTGCGTTGATTGTGTGCCTGCAGGAGGTCTCGCGTCCTGGCACCACTGCCAACACTTGGACGAAATAATCCGCGGGGTTGTAGTTGCTGGGGCACACAGCTCCCATCCTAAAAATATTAATCGATAATCATGTGATCATGTAATTGAGGATATTCAACTTTGGGTTTTGTTTCTCCAGTGAAATGCTTTTCTAATTTTGTAGTCGAACAGCAGGGCTTTCATTTGAGCCCCATGTGAACCTGTTTGCGGACTTTTTATAATGATTTTATCATTTAAAGTTTGCTGGCTTGAATAAGAATTTCGATATTGAACCGTTTGAAAAAATTTATTTATTTATTTATTCATTTATTTGTTTATTTATTCATATATTGAAGTCAAGACAGTCGAAGCCAATTACAAGATAAATAAATAGTATGAGAATTATAAACGCATCGGAGTTAGCACGCTGTTAAAAATTTTTGTCTGAAATTTCCGGTAGATTTTTTTATAAATTTTTATCGAATTTAATTACCACTGAAATTTCAAGGAATTTCGTTATTGAAAATTCAGAATTTCGTGGAAAAATCAACGAAATCATGAAATTTCAGATTTCTTTGAAAATTTAATGTAATTTGGCATTGAATATTCATATTAGATTGAAAATTCAAATAACTTCAGCTTAAATTATGAAATTTTACTGGATTTTCATTATTTTTTTCCCCTAAATCGTATTTAGCGTCACTGTCCTGAAATTTAGTAGTCAACTGTCCATGAAACTTCCTTTTTTGTCTAACAATGCCTATTGGCGCAAAAATAATCGTATGTAATTTTTAAATTGTCAATTTCCACTATTTTACTGCTAAAACGAAGAATAATAAATCCACATACGTTTTAAAAAAAGCATAAGCCTGTTCAGGCGTCCCCATGAAAGCGACCCGTCCCTCTGCCATGAGGAGAATCCTGTCGAAAAGCGCAAAGAGCTCCGAGGATGGTTGATGAAGAGTCGCGATGATGGTTTTCCCCCTAGCTGAAGAATAAAAAAATCTGTCCATTCTTCCGCAAGACGATTGAAATTCTCTTACTCTTGAAAGTGTTACAGACCTGCCAGTGCCTTCAACACAGACACCACCTGATGCGCCATGAAGGAATCCAGCCCTGATGTTGGCTCGTCGCAGAACATGAGTGGCGGATCGGTGAGTACCTCAGAAGCAAATGATAATCTCTTCATTTCTCCGCCGGAGAGCCCTTTCACGCGTCCGGGGATACCGATTATCGTATCCCTGCACTTCGTCAGGGCCAACTGGATCAATCAATTGAAAAATAAATAATTATCCGTGACATTAATGACGGGATACTTAATAATTAATCACAAATCAGTGAAACGATACCATCAAAAATAGATCTTTAAATACATCTTCTTAAACGGGAGATTATCTCCAGAACGCGTGGTTCTATCAAAAAATACCATAAAGCCATTTTTATAGGAAATTTTCTCGGCTACAAAAAATGTTCTATGTAGTTTCGTCGTAAATCCATTCATTCTCGAGATAATCGAGACATTATGAGCAGTGGACGCGTCATTTTAAGTCATTGAATGAATAATTTACTTCTGATATGACGTCATTGACCCTTTTCACCCGTTGCTTGTACGGAATATCCCGGTCCATTCGCACCATGGCTTGAAAGAGCAGATGCTCTCGTACGGTGAGAGTCCCAACAAATAAATCGTCCTGCTGTACATAAGCTGTTCTCGACGTGAGTACACTCGATGTCACTCGCCGGCCATTCGCTGCCATTGTCCCAGAGACTGTTATGCCTCGGGATGAGCGAAACGTCAGGGCGTTTAATAGAGTCGTTTTCCCTGCGCCTGATGAGCCCATTATCACTAGTAGTTCACCAGGGTATGCCACACCACAAGCTAAATAAAAAAAATCGTTTGAAATAACGAAAACAATTAAGAGCTGAAAATTTTCTGCTTCGATTATTTCGTGAAAATCAAGTGGAAATTGTATTTCACATTTTTTCTCAGGATGCAATACTATTTGATTTGCTCAGGATGCAATACTATTCCTAGTTTATTATCTTGAACAACGAAACAGATATTTCCTATTTTATTTCCTCAGAAAAAATGAAAAAACAATTGAACTGAAAATTTCTATAATTTTTTTGCAATTCAATTAATCATTGGATTGAGTGGATGTTATACCTCGGGATGAGAAGAATGTCAGGACGTTCCATAACTAAATAATATAAGTTAAATAACAGTTTGAAATAACGAAAGAATTGAGAGCTAAAAAATTTCTACTTAAATTCAGGCCTGGACTATTTCATGAAATTCAAGTAGAAATTGTATTTCACATTTTTTCTCAGGATGCAATACCATCTGAAATAACTATTCCTAGTTCATTATCTTGGACAACGAAATAGGTATTAATTATTTTATTTCGTCAGAAAAAAATGAAAGAACAATGAAAATGAAAATTCCTTCAATTTTTTCTACAATTCAGTTAATCATCTATTCAATTTGAAATAACGAGCGATGAGATAATTCATCGTAAATGTCCCATAAATAGCGCATATGCGTTAAGTAATCGCGAGTGTGCGGCCGCATTAAACCACAATGGAGACGCAGCATCCCATTACATTCGCTCACCATCGGCATTCTCATTTTTCATCTCAACGATATTTCATTCCCCCGTATGCACCAACTTTATTGAATTCTCACCGTCTTTGAGAATATGCCTCTGCTCAACCGGTTTTTTCCTCCGGAATAGTCGATCCCAGGCCCTGCCATTGCGCGCCGTGTAGTAGACGTTCACTTCGCTCCAAGTGTAGGTGATCCTGTCGTTGGTGGCTGACAGGGGGTGGATTTCGTGTTTTGAGACCACTGGCTCCATTCTTAGGACAGCCTCTGTGCTGGAACCGTGGGAGTCCGTGTGATGGCCATTCCCCTTCGTCTGATAGAGAATTGGAAATAATTCCAGAGTGAATTTATTCTATTTATGTATTAATTCATTCAATTGGAAATATATCTGAAACGTTGGGTTTTAGAGAAAAATCTCAAAGTAGAGAATCAGAAAAGTAGAGTGGAGAGTATTTCATTGTCTACAGTAAAAATCTTTCGACGTTTTCACTCGACAAAAATAAAAAAAAAAAAATACCGACAATTTAGGCTCAAAAATTTTGAAATTGCAAATGATAGAATTAATCTAATAAATAAGACGGAATCAGTGTTAAAGATGAGATTATCTCAGAACTGACTAACTTCAACCAGAAAAGTCATAATATATTCTTTACGGGGAATTTAATTCTCTTCAAAAAAGATGTTTTCACATTTTTCGATGAATCCACTCACTCCACAGATATTTTCAAAACAAAAACAGTAATTAGGAATGAAAAAGAGAGAAGTGAATGAGAGGAGTGATTTTACGACTCGTTCTTATCAGTTATTGCCCCAATTATCTTAAATAATAAAAGTTTCATAATTTTACGAGTCCCGAGTCTCCGAAGAATGAGGAGATAGGACTTGAATACAGAAGGATACGCTGAAAACATAGAAGAGTGAAGGGGAACCCCAGTTCAGCTCGAGACGCCTAATCTCCCCATGGGTTCTCGATTTTCAGTGGGAAGCCCGCCGGAACCACTACGGCTTCCGGTGATGATCCTCCTCAGCCCTTGTCTCTTGACATTCCTCGTTATCATCAATTCCAAATGAAAGATTATCTATTACTCCGGTAATCGAACGATTACCCTAAAAAATCTTCGTTAATTCTGATTTATCTCGAGACCAAGGGGTTTCAGGAGAAAATGTCATACGAACTTTTTTTAGGTGATTAAATTTCCTACAAAAAAGTTCCAATAACATTTTTCCCTATCATCAACCGTTCAGGAGATATTCACCGTTTTCTGATGGAAAAAACTTTCAAATTTCGGCTCTCTAATGATGATGGTTTTGTTCTGTTCTTTCTGCTTTGTTTTATCATTTTTATTTTTACTTACGAAGGCAACGGAATCATACGAAGTCCTCTGAGTGCTCGTAGAAGGGGTGGGGGTGGTGATGAGGGGTTGATTTTCCTCAGTTGCTGTCATTTCGAATTGAAAAAATGATTTTTCTTCCAAACAAAAATTCTGAATTCTTTATCCGCACAGATTTAGATTTTTCCGATCGATTTGTTTCTCTACATCGTTGTGGAAATGATCATGTCATGCACATTGTAAACCCTTCTTCATTCCTCCCGAGATAGTTCGCAGCGTTGTGAATGTAAATACGAAAAGAACGAGATATGAATTTTAATGATAAACACTGCAAATGAACCTCCGCGAGATAAAGCACTATTTCTCCGGGGTGAGCGACTCGCAGCCAGGTCTTCATTAAATTTAATGCCCCCGAGCGAATTTTCCTCGTCGAGAGACCCTCATTATCACAAACTCGGTTGAACGAACTTTTTTTTTGTAACAAGAGGTACAAAGATAGTTGTTTTCAGGCGGAATTTGCGAGGTTGAATTTGGGGTGATGTCGATCTGTCGAGTTCGACGATCACGGCATGACTGAATTTCTTCCGCCACTGGGGTAGAGACTGCACTGATGCTCAATGCGTGTGGGAGTGATAGACAGTGTGAGAGCTGATGCGATTGTTTCAATCACAAATTGTGAAAAATTTAAGGAAGAAAAATTCAGTAGCGAAGCGGTAAACCGGGTTAAGTCGTTTTTTACTATTGGCTAGTTTTTGACGAATATCTCGGAATCTAAAAGAGATAGCAAGATTTTTGTCATGACCTTTTTCGTAGAGCCAATAGAGCGTTATAAAAAAAGTCATGAGAAAAATTTTGCTATCTCTCTTAGATTCCGAGATATTCTGCGAAAACTGGCTAATAGTCAAAATCGACTCAACTCGGTTTACCGCTTCACTACCGAATTGGGACTGAGGAGGAAAAATTAATGGGGATGCAATGAAAAAATTCCAAATCCAGCGAAATTAAGTAACAAATTGATGAAACATTGAATTATATTATTTAGAAGTAGGAGAAATAGAAGTATATCTTCAATATTTCGTTGAAAATTTCTGTCTAGAAATTAATGGATGTGATTATTCGAATCTCGATAAATTAAGATGTGATGTTTCTGTAAATTACTTTAGCTAAATAATTTTTTTGTAATCTCATTAGATGATAATGTTGTGAAAAGAACTGAATATTGATCTAAACAAGTAATTAAATTTCCTATTTTTCAGTAAATTCTTGTTTTCACGTAAATTAGTGAAATTTTAATGAAAATTTCTGATAATTCATACATGTTTTGAATATCGAACTGCCTTCATTCAAATTTCAGTAAAAAAAATTCTTAAATTGGGGAATAGTTGAGGAGGATAATTGATAATTGATAAAATAACCGTCAACACAAGCTTCTTTCGATTTAAAATATAAACTCAATTTATTTCTTGTCAGCTATAGACACTCTCTCCAACAAAAATACCAGTTCACAATGATTAGTATGAGGGAACATATCAACAGGTACAGCTTTGACAGGCACCAGGGGATCTCCAGTGTATTGTTTCGAGGTCGGCCTCGCCAAATCCACGAGGTTTCTAGTCGCAGCTTTGGGATCACAGGAGATGTAGATCAATCTCTTCAATGATTTCGATTTTCGAAGGGCGAGAACGGCCTGTTGCTCTGGAATAAAAAAAAAACAATTCAATCATTGCAATAAATCCCTTTAATGAGGTACGAGGGTACTCACGCAATCCTGCGCGTGGAGGATCGACGACAGCCACAACATCAGGCTTTGTAGTCCTCTGGAGAACAGTCTTGAGTATATCCTCAGCTTTTCCAATGAAAAATTCACAGTTATCGACTTTATTCATCTTTGCGTTCTCCCTCGCGTCTTTTATCGCGTCTGGTATCATCTCTAGTCCCAAAACTTCTCCACAATGCTGTAAAAAATGTCAACTAACGGTTAAAATCATCAAATCACTGAAAAAACTGAATTTGAAAAATTTTTAAAATGATTTTTTAGTGATAAAGAGTGGAGAATTGATTTTTAAATTTTTCTTGACTCGAATTTTGTCTCTTGAACACATTATTCTATCCGAATTAAATATTAATGAAATAGCTCTCGTTATGATCCCCTACAATAATTCATTATCAATGCAAATTAAGATTCAACTTATCACTTCATGTTCCAATTTATGAAAATGATGACATTACAAACCTTCGAAAAAGTGAGTCCAATAGTCCCAGTCCCACAGCAAACATCCAGCACCGACGTATCCTTATTCGGTTTAGCTAGATCAATTGCTGCTTTGTACAGAATCTCAGCTCCTTGAGAATTAACTTGGAAGAACGCCTGAGGGGATACCCTGAACTTCATGTCCATCAGTTCCTCTTCAATGTACTCAGACCCACTGAGATGATGGAAGGAACCTCCTCCCTCTCCTCCAGAGTCTCTGAAAAAATAATTTAATTTCTCAAAAATTCTCATTTATTCCTCAACAATTCTGATTTTTAAGTTATTAAAATTCCTTTGGGCCATTTCAAGTTTTATTGATTATTAGCACTTTCTTTTTCCAATAGAACAAAAATCATGCAGAACCCCAATTCTATGTACGTGACAAAAATTCAATTTTACCTCCTACTGATTGTCTGGAAATACAAGGACGTAACATTTGCCTCCTTCCCCTCTTCCTCCTCGAAAAATCTCGAGATATCTCTCTTCAAATTATCAACTTCCTCGTCACTCAGCTCCTGAGGGTGAACTCCAACAATCAGCATGAGGTGATTTAATCTGGTTGTTCTGGCAGTGATTTGCCTCCAGTATCCCTGATGATTCACTGGGTCGAAGGGTTCCAGTTTGGATTCCCTGATGAATCCTTGGAACAATTTGACAGCTGTCTTCATGCTCTGGGGAATGTGGCACAGGTCGTCGATGGGTCCAACAGCTGTCGATCCAGCTGCATAGCTGGATAATCTGAAGCCAATGACAACTTCCTTGCCATCGCGACTCCTTCCCACTGTGAATTCACACTTGTTCCTGTACCCCTCTGTCACGGACGGACTCAGAATTGGCAGAAGCTCGCAGATCAAGCCATTGTTTTTGGTCTCTTGCTGCTGAATCCACTTGGAGAGGGGCGCATTCTGCTTCCATATGGTCTGACCCAGCTTCTGCAGGACTGATCGTATCTCCTTGGTTTTTAACTCCAATTGCTTGGCGTAGGGAATGTCCCAGAGGGGAGTTGTACTCGTTTTTACTTGAAGCTCAGGGGAAATTGTCTCTGATTCGGATTCCAATTTTTGCCTTTTTGCAGAGTCGTTTTCGGCCTCCATCTTTCGTTTTATGAAAGGATCTGGGGCTGGTTTTGCTTTCTGTGAGGGGAACGAATAGAGGAAATTTGGGGATTTAATGGGAATATTTGTTGATTGTGTGAGAGTCATAAATAGCAATTGTTCATTGGGAAAATTGGTGAATTGGATTTTTATAGCAAAATGCAGCTGCTCAAATGTTCGATATTTTGTAAACGAACGATGGAATCAAGAGAAATCAGGGCTCGTTTTAAAGACAATTAAATGATCTCGAAGATGAAATCAAGTTTGTCGAATTTCGCTCTGCCAATCTCGAGTTATTAATGATTAAAAACAGATTGTTATCCTCTCCAATGCAAATTCGAGTCTAAAATTATTTTTTATCTTCAAATATCACGAAAATTAATCATTTTATGAAAAAATCTGAGAAGAACTTTTTCAAAGAGCGTAAAATTTCCTTCGAGAAAGGTTTCCTGATATTTTTTTCAAGACCCCTTCCTTCCGGAGATATTGACGAAATAATTTCCTGAATTTTATAATTAGCATAAAAAATCGAATTATTTTATGTTTACCCTCGCCATAAGTTTACAATTCTTCCAAGTCATGCCATTGATGGTATTGATAGCCTTGTCGACAGCCTCCTCACTCTTGAAGCACACAAAAAGCCAGCCACTCCCCCTCTTCGGTGGCTTCACCTTGCTGGAGTCCAACTCCAATTTGTTATTCAACAAGGTCTTCAACTCCTTCATCCCATAGTACTTCGGCAGTCCCTGAATTTCAATTTTGTACTTCTCAGAGGTGAAATCCTCTCGATTGAGATAACCATAAGGATTCTTGTCCGTATTGTCGTCATCCTCAGTCGAAACACTCACTTTAGCGTCTGCAGGCATTTTTTAACGATAAAAAAATAGAGTTTTGGCTGCAGTAAACAATTGAATAATCAACAATATCAGCGAACACGTGTTGTGCACGAACTGAACGACTTCATGAGAGGATTGTCACGAGGATAACGCGATTCTCTTTCTTATCGACTGGAAATTTTTCCGACAATCGTGTCCCGTCTAGGCATCCGTGACCTACAGTGCGTCAAAAGCTTCGTGTGTGTGCGTGTGAATCAGAAATTTGCAGTTGACAGTCAATTCTAACCCAACCTCGCTGACGATTGAGCAAAATGATAGCCACAGTTACTCCATTGACTGAAGAATTATATTTTTAAGAGGTAAGTTCAATCATTATCACTGCATTCCTGGATCTCATGTATTAGTAAGTAGAGTAGTTATTCAACTGTTCGTTTCTCTGGTGATCACCACAGTTTATCGGTTTCCTTTGTTGCCCAGGGTATCTGCCCTCTCCAACCCATCAGTCCCCCAATCTCTATGAATTTGTTATTGTGATCTGTGTTTGAGAATCATTAACTTTTGAGGAAGACTTCAACACTGACACAGCATTTCATTGAAAAAACGACCTATTGTGCACGATGGAGTGACTTAATTTTTTGATACGTGTGTTGTTTTGCATTGGGATATTCTCAGCAGAAATTGGAATCCACACATTCTAATGATGCACATCATTTGTGCATAATTGTATGTAAATTGGGATTTTATTGTACTACGTTGAGGCGTTACATTCCAATTTCACACTGTGCAATGTGAATTCTACAGTGTACAGTTCAAACTTGTTAGTGTTTAATTTTTTTTTCAATTCGAGGAGATATTTACCTGAATTTTTTCGATTTCTGTTAATTTTTGGCGGAATAGTTCAACTGAAATTTACAGTTTCCATTGGTTTTTCCATAAATTTTGGAATTTTCAATGATGAAATTCGTTGAAATTTCACGGAGAGTTGACAGTGAATTGAATTTAGGGGGAAAAAATTATTAAATTTCAAATTTTTTGAAATTTTCAATCAATTGAAAATTCAAGAACATATCGACCTGAATTTTTCTGATAATTGCATTAAAATTACCACTTTCCATAGATTTCTCTATAAAATTTTCAATTTTCAATGACGAAATCCCTCAGAATTGCAGTGGACAGTGACAAAAATTTCCAATAAATCTACCGGAAATTTCAGCCAAAATGTTTTAACAGCGCCCATAAAGTGTAATAGATCATTTTGCAGAGAAAATGTTGTGTGGGTGTTAAAATACGCCCATTATTAAACCGAGTAGTTATTGAATTGTTCATTCCTGTGTTGATCTGCTGAGTTAATTGGTTTTTCCTATTACCCAGTGCATCCCTCAACCCATCATGTGTCACAACAATTTGTGACAATGTGATATTTGTGGGCTTGTAACAATTTGTGTTAAAAAATCGTAAGCTTTGGACTCGAATCAGATTGATGGAGCAATGTCCATCCCTTGACGACTGCCCCTAGGTTCAAAAGATCGTGATAACCAGTCATGGATGATAGGGGCCCTCATGAGGGGGCCCCTGTAGGACCCCTGGAGATTCCCCTGCTCGACAAAACCCGCGATCTCCCCGAGATATGGACGACAAATCCCACGACTTCCATCGACCAACGAAAAAACCCCAATCGCTTGCTCTTCCTCACTGTCGAGTTCGCCGAGGACCAATCCAAGGACTTCTCCAGGATGTTTCCATACGAGCAGGTCTCATTCTCCCCAAGAGCCACATCGCCACTCTCTGATTTTGAGCATCGAGTCAGTCCACTGGACCCCAACATGAGCTCAACAGCTAGATACTCACCCACACCTGTCCAACTGCCTTCACTACCCTTTCAAAATTCAGTGGTTGTGCTGCAGAGTCCACCTTCTCCACTGATGATACCTGCTGAGAGCAATCAACGGGCTAATATCAATTTTATCGAGGCTCAGGGTAACACTGCGAACATCGAGGAGGGGGAGGCTGACAGTGTCCCGGATTTTGTCGGTGGGGGAAGTCAACAGGGAATCGCTGCTGATGTCAATGGAGAATTAATTCTGATGCAAGGTAGGAAATTCATTATTTTCTCTATTTGCGATGAGTTATTTTCGGAGAAGATAAGTCTCTTTAAATGACTTGTTATTTAGGTGACACTGTTGGAAAATAATTGAAATTCAAGTCGAGGGGAAAATTGTGAAATTTCACATTTACCTGAAAATTTAATGAAATGACAAATTTTTGAATTTTCATTCAATTGAAAATTCAAGAATATATTTATCTGAATTTTTCTCATTTCTATCACTCTTTATGAAATAATTGAATAGAAAATGATTGCATTTCCTAAAAAATCCGATTTTTCGTTTTTTTTCTCTGAATTGTTATGAAAACTTTTAAATTTTTTCTCAATTAAAATTGCTTATTCGCCCAATTTATTAAATATTTCTTCATGTTCTCTTGATCATCCATTCTTTTTCAACCTAAAACATCAATAATATATTTACCTGAATTGTCCTCATTTCTATAAATTTTCATGAAATAATTGAATAGAAAATCTATTGCATATCCTAAAAAAATTCGATTTTTCCTATTTTCTTTCTCCGAATTTGTTATGAAAAACATTTAAATTCATGTCATCTAAATAAAATGAAAATCAGCCAACTTTTTGTCAATTAAAATTGCTTACTCCCCCAACTTATTCAATACTCCTTCACATTCCCTCGATCACCCATTATTTTTCAACCGAAATCATCAATTGGTTCCATCACGAGACGATCTCCTCCCCAAAAACACGAAATTCAATTTTCTCCAACAGTATCTCTAAACTGTCCACCCCTCAGTTTCGTCTCCCTCACTCGTCCCACTTCTTCCAGGAACAAGTGCCGAGCTGGAGAATTCGCCAGCCCCTCTCCTCCTCTCGGGCCTCCCGGGCACGGAATTCGCGTTAACCCGCGACTTCCTAGTGATGAACGACGACCAATTAACCGTAATGAACTCCCTCCGCCCCCAGCCCACCGACGACCCCGCGGTCGTCCCGGAGCTCCCGGCCCTCCCCGTCCCCGAAAAGGACCTCCTCCCCCCCTCGATAATCTACCCTCCCCTCCTCCCCAAGAACCCGCTCTCGGCGCCGCTAGGAGATCTCCCCCTGACCCCCGAAAACCGAAGTACAAACTCCAAAAGACAAATAACTGATAAAAAAACCTACTGGTGCGATGACTGCGACACAATTTCCTTAAAGGACGGTGAGTGCACCTGTCACGATGTGCGAACGATCGCTGACCAGCCGGTGCCCTCTCGCGCAGTGGCCACCCTGCCGGGTTCCTACCTCTCCCTCGCGAAATTAAGCGACTCCCCGAAAGAAACTTACGGAGTTTTCGCGAAAAGAAACATCTGCCGACGAACGCAATTCGGTCCGATCGAGGGTGTGCCCTGCGAATATGACGGCAAGGGTTTCAGCCCAGACGCCCTCCCCCTCCTGTACGAAACCGAGGGCGGAGAGCTGATAAAAATCGACGTATCAAACGAGCACTCCTCCAACTGGATGCGTTTCGTGCGCCCCGCGCAGACCCACAAAGAGCAAAACCTGATAATTTCCCAGCAGAAGGACGGGATAATCTTCCTAACTACGCGCAACATATCCCCCCGAGAGGAGCTGCGAGCAGGTCCCAGTCCCGACTACGCAGCTAGACGAAATCTCCCTCTCCTGGAGGACCCGAAGACCCAGCAGTTCAAGTCAGGAGACCTCGAGAGCTTCTCCTGCCTGGACTCGGCCTTCGATAATTCACCACTCGATCACTCTATCCATTCCGACCTCCTGGATCCAATCCTCAAGCCCACCGCAGACCCCCAAGACCAAGAGCAGGGCAAACGACCAAGAATAGGCAAGACCAAGCACCTGAAGACGATGGACGAGCAGTCCCTCCCATACAGCTGTCCTCAATGCCCAAAAGCCTTTCCTCGAAACGATTCCTTGAAGAAACACTTGCTGTCGCACTCGGGCTTGGAGAGCACGGCCTACGAGTGTCCGACCTGCGGCGAGAACTTTCTCCACTCGTACAACCGCAGCCGACACATCAAAATATTCCACAGTGACGACACAAAGGAAAAGGAAAACTCCCGAAAGAATTCCTCAGAATACAAATGCCCAAAGTGCAGTATAATCTTCATGAAGGCATCTCTTCTCGATCTCCACAGTGAGCTGCACAATCAAAATAACAACGAATCAGGAGACTCGAAGACCCACCGCTGTCCTCAATGCAAACATGACTCCAAGACCCACTCAGAACTGATAAAACACGTGTCAAAGCACGGCCACAAACCCCAGCATAAGAAGCAGAAGCAGCAGTTGACGAAAACATCGAAAGTCTTGTCATCCCACAAATGTACGATGTGTTACAAGCGTTTTGCCACTAAAGTGCGCCTCCAACAGCACTACCTGGTGCACGGCGCCGAGGACCAAAAGCCACTGCCATGCAACGTATGCTTCAAGCGATTTATGAACAACTCAGCATTGTCCTGTCACCTGAAGACCCACCGCGAGGACAAGCAGACATTCGAGTGTCCCATGTGTCGTAAACTATTCGATCAGGTTCTCCAACTAAAGGATCACATAGAGACGCACAGGAACGAGGACAAGACGTTCAGCTGTCCTCACTGTCCTCGAATGTTCACCAAATACTCGGTAATAAGAAAGCACATAAGGGCGCATCACTGCGAACGCAAGCACAAGTGTCAATTCTGCGTCAAGCGTTTTCCAACAATCGATAAACTGCGAATGCATCTGCTGAGGCACTCCGATCACAGACAGTTTCATTGCGCTAATTGTGAGAAGCAGTTCAAGAGGAAGGACAAGCTCAAAGAGCACATGACGAGAATGCACAATTCAGAGAGAATGGAGAGCTCTAAAGTGTCGAATATGGCCACTGATAACGATAATTCAGGGCTTCAACAGGGTAATCAAGCTAAGAAATTCATACCAAAGGTCAATCCCACGGATTACAACAGATTTGTGTACAAGTGTCACCAGTGTCTGGTGGGCTTCAAGCGCAGGGGAATGCTTGTTAATCATCTTGCTAAGCGTCATCCGGAGGTGTCACCGGAATCGATACCCGAGTTGAATTTGCCGATTTTCAGACAGACGAGGGATTACTACTGTCAGTATTGCGATAAGGTTTACAAGAGCAGCTCCAAGAGGAAGGCGCACATCGTGAAGAATCATCCGGGCGCTGCTCTGCCCCCCAGCAACAGGCAGAAGGAGATGCTGGGGGACTTGACGTACAGTCAAGCTGCAGGAAGTGTGACAACCACTCCGCAGGGCTGTCAGTGGTGTCACAAGCAGTACGCTAGCAAGGCGAAATTGCTGCAGCACCAGAGGAAGAAGCACTCTACCCTCATGGAGCCTGCTGACCAGGTACCGAGACCCAGGAATCGACCGCAGGCGCAGAGTCAAGTGCAACAGGATCTCATCGACAATAACTTTGTTAATAATAACTTCGAGTTCATTGAAATAGCTCCGGTGTGTGATATCGGTGAGTTCAGATTTAAACCGAGGATTATTAAACTCAGTAATGATGTTGATTTGATTGATATTGAGGGGGGCATTGATCCATTGGTAGATCAACAATTTGTGCGTATGCGCGACATACGTTGAAGATATTTTGGGGAGCACTTCGACGACTGTTGGAGTGCTTATTGTTGTTCAATTTCATTGACGAGATATGAATCTCGTTGTTTTGGGGGATTAAGCGTTTGTTGCTGATTGTGATGAATGGGCAACGGCTGACGCTGATGTTGTGGTGAGGAGTTTGGAGGGGGGACAGGGCTGAGGGCTTCGTTTGGGGGATTCGCGGGGGTGGATTTTTGGGAATTGGGGGTTGCAGGTTGTTGGCGCTGACGGCGAAACGTCAGTGCTCACCCGATTATCGGTATTTTAGGGCTTTCCTTTGGGTACATTCGGGTGCTGCTGTCTCGAATTACAGAGGTTTATTCGTGTGGAATACGAAGGAATCCTATTGAGGGGGCTAATCGGCGAGGGTGTCATTTAGTGGTGAAGGGGAAATTTTAACTTGAGATATTTTTTATTGAGCTTTTGGGGAGAATGCAGGGAATGGCTGACTAATTTCAGGTTTTCGTACTTCACCACTGAATTGAACATTTTCTTCGAGATTTCGTGAGCGAGGTGCCCTTGCTGGGCAGCGGAAATTGAGCGTTACGCACTGAGAATCAATAATTTAATCATGACGAACATTTTTCTTTGAGTCGAGGAACACGAGCGCGATGTTACATGCTAGTGGTGAAGTCGGAGAGGGAAGGAAATTCTTCAAGATTGAATATTTTGAAGGCGTTTTTGAGGGATCACTTCGCTGCTGAATAATATTATCAAAAAATGGCCATTTGGAATTGAATAATTGTGTTTTCTGTGGTGTGACGAGAGATCACATGGATTTTAAATATCGATGGAATTATTTGAGGCACTGGCACAATAGAGACGATAAATAATGGTTAGATTTTCATTTCAATGGGGTAATATTGATCATTTATGTTCAATTGAAGAAACAATATCAAACGGGCATTAGGCCTTAGCGTTGACTTTATTGAAGGAACAAAAACTCAAAATACATAATATATTGATTAATTGATAGTTGAGTAATTGTATCTCGTAACAGTGATACAAATTGAGAAAAAAAAATAACTTAATGAAACGAATTATCGAGCTTCAATAGAACGACGTGGAAAAATTTATTTTTTCTTTTGAAAATGTCACTCGATCGCTGGTCAGTGAATAGACGAAGAGAGTAAATACAATGTAAATGGAGAATTACTAGGCACTTGACAATAGAATGTTGAAACAATTGTAATGAATTTAATCAGTCAGTCCCAATCCATTGCGCCTCTGCAGTCGTTAGTACAGTCTCATTATTTCCTTTATTCTACGGATCACTATGTACATTGTTAAATGATAAAAATCGAAATAGAAGTAATGTAAGAGGTGATGAAATTATTGAGAATGTGAAACCAATGTTTCCGGGAGAGATCTATCAGTGTCATTTAAATTATAGAATTTTAGGAGTAAAAGTGAATTGAGAAATAAAAGAAGTATTGAAAATATATGCTGGTGGATTTTTTCACTGCTATTTCAGCTGTTTAATCCCTAAATTTCACTCATTGCGTTAATTTTTTCGTTGAGATGGAGAAAAATATCGAGAAACTTCTTGCGCTTTTTTTAAAATCTTTCTGCTACGATTTATCCATGATAAAGTCTTAGAATATTATTTTCATCATTTTTAAATTTTATTTTAACATTAATACTTTACATAATGTCTACAAATTTTTTCATAGCGTAATAAATTTATCTCGACGAGTTGCCCTCGAATTTCTCACTGGCAATGGCAAGTGGTCCCACCGCCCCCGGCTTGAAGACGGGCTGATGAATGGGTGTTGCAACTGACGGTGAACCTCTCTGCATCTGAGCAGTTTCATGCAATTGTTTCTGCATAACTGCAAGTGCAACTTTATTGGCTGTGAGAAAATCCTTCATTGATATCAATTCTCCGGACATTCGTCTCGGTGTATCAGATGCACTGCTGTCCTCACCCCTCAGTGAATCCCTTCTGGATATACCGTTGACCCTAGTGTGCCTTCTGCGTGAGTAATAAAATCCAGATACCGAGGATTTTCTTCGCGGCAAGTGGGGCGCAGCCATAGTCCTCCGTTTGCCTATTATTTTATTCAATTTTGTTATCACACAGTTGAGCATCTGTTTTATCACGATTGAGGTGACGTTCAGGAGGGAGTATATGCAACAGCAGCCCAAAACGAGGAGCAAGAAGTTTGTTATTCGATAGCTGAAAGGGAAATCAAGATTTTTTTAAATCGTAGTTGCCTTCAGAATGAATCATTTCAGGGGAAAATGCAGACTTTTTGTTGAAGAATTCTTCTGGAATTTTTGGTCATCAATAATTTTTTTGTTATTACTCTTATTATTTTGATCACACATTATCGTTTCATGATAATCATGAATCATTATTTGTTTTAATTTGCTGTAATTTATTCAATTATTTATTTGACGAGAAAATGTTGAAGGATTTTCTTCAAGAAAAAATCTCATTGACATTTTCCTCGAGATCTTCTGCAATCATTCGCCAATTATTCAGGAGAATAAATTGTTAAAGAGCTCACAGATGACTGTACGGATAATTCTGCTTCTCCGTGCTGACATAGTCCCCGAAGCCAATGGTGGCAAAACTGATGAAACAAAAATACAAAGCGTCGAGGTACCCCCAGCCCTCGAATAAAGCGTAGAGAGAAGCTCCGCTCCCTGCTATGAGACAGGAGAAGATTGTGAGGTACAGCATTACCCAGTAGACGCTGGGCTTCCAGTGGTCTAGGCCCATGTCCTCCTCGTTGTCTTCGTCGAGAATGTCGGGAAGGTACATTCGAGGATTATTGGGGGGTCTAGATGCCACTCGTCTCGACGCCAACGTCGTCTGTCTCAGGCGCTTTTTCAATCTCCTCAAGTGGATTGTTCGCAGACCCCATGCGAGGAACGTTATTATCCGCTCGAGGAATAAATTGAAGAATAGTATTCCTCCTGGAATTGTATTTAATAGTTAACAACATCCGAGATTTTTTTATCGAAATTTATCGATGTAACGTTTCTTACGTCTTTCTTTTCAATGAAGAATCAAGACAATTTTAAATAAAAAATGAGATTTTATAGGTTTGAAGGCGAATCTTCATTCTCTTGAAGTAAAACGGGAAAATGTCCTTCTATAGTTGAATATACGTTTGATGATTAGTCAACAATATTCAAGTTTTATTTTATGGAAATTCCGTGACATAAACTTTTAGTTTTCGTCCATCTTTTTTTTAATGAGTAATGACGAAGAATTTTTTATACAAATTCAAAATCATTTGAATAAAAAAAGTGAAGATTTTTCAATTTTGAATCATTCTTCATTTTGTTGAATGAAGACGCGAAAATTTCCAGAGAAATGTTTTCTGAGGGTAGAATAAAATATTATTGGATGATAGAAGTTTCACGTGGCATCCAAAAAATCCAAATAATGCAAAATAATTGACTTATTAAACTAATTAAAACAATTTTTAATGAACCTCCATTTTATTGAATAGATATGCAAAAATTTCAATTGAAACTTTTTCTTACAACAGAATAAAATATTATTGGATGAAAGGAACTTCACTTAAAAATGCAAAAAAAAATCGAAAAATCAAAGATAATTTCCGCTTATTAAATATATTGAAACAATTTCAAATAAATCTTCATTTTATTGAATAAACATGCAAGAATTTCAATTGGAATTTTTTTTTAGAGCACAATAAAATATTGAAAGCTAGAAACTTCACCTGAGCAACCAAAAAATCCATAAACAATCACTGCAAGTCTCCCAGCCCTGGTCTGAGGCGTCGTTGTTCCATACCCTTCAACAGAGTTAAAAATTCGTAATAAACTCTTACGAATTACTCTCACTCGCTATTTATCTAATGTCTAATGAAGTCTCGCAATAACCCGGAGACTAGGTCGCCGGAGGGACTGTGCGTATGCATATGACAGCATTAACATTCCTAGTCGCTTTTCAGCTGCATTCTAGTGCACAAACGCCGACTGGATGCAGTCGTCGACCCTAGTCCTCCTCAGGCACCTAGAGCACTTGTTCAATTCAATGCGCGATTGAGGGGATTAACGCTGTACAATTATCAGTTCCCGCGGTAATTGAAGGTCCAGGATAAGCGGATTCTCGATTGTAATCCAGGATTCTCGTCGCGGTTCTTTCGTTTGGGAGTTAATCCCTTCGTTAACTAAAATGAGGCGAAACTCGAAAGGTTGGAGATCGATTTTTCGTTACGTATTTTTGTTATGCAATGCAATTATTGTCGTTTATGTCAGGGTTTCATTGAATTTTTGAATTATGTGAATCATTTGAAACGAAATGTCAAGAGATCTGAACGATTTTTTCTGCACGGAGAGAAATATTCAATAAAAATTACGTATTTTTTTCGTAATTCCGGAGCGAAATGTGATTGTAGGAAATTTTACGGAACTGTTATGTAATTTTTACCTAAAATCACGAAATTTTTCCAAAGCGTTCCGTAATTTTTACTGAACATTTCTCTCCGTATGGTATCACTGGCTGTGGAGATGATTAGGAATTGATTTTTGAGAATTTTACTTTTTGAAAAATGGTGAATTGAATTGGTGATGAGTGATTTTTGGTAATTCAAAATTTTTCTCACGAAAAAGGCATTCGAATATATTTTGGACGTCCACTTCGTTACGTATTCGTATTACGCAATGTGATTATGTTCATGTGCATCGATTTTTAATCGAGGTCTTTTCAAAATTACGTGAGCCATTTTGAGAGGAAATGTCAAAGGGAAATTCGACTTTTTAAATTAGAGATTGAGTAATTAATTTCACTATCTTGAATTTCAGGTGAAAAAGTCCAAAGTTTTTTTTTTTGTAATTCAGAATATTTCCAACGAAAAATTTATTCGAATATATTTTGGAAATTCATTGCTCATTACATATTCTTGTTATGCAATGTGATGATTTTCATTCATGTACAGTTTTAATTGAGTTTGTGTAAAATTACGTGAGCAATGTTGAGAGGTACGAAATTTTGTCAAAGAAATTCGATTTTTCAAATTGGAGATTTAGTCATTATTACTCATTATTTTTGTAATGAGTTATTTAAAGGGAAAATGTCTAAAGCCTTTTTGTCACGAAGATATATCCATCGAAAAATGTCTTCAAATATAATTAAACCATTTGTTTTGAAGAATTTAGTTTAATGAATTAGATTTATTAATTAGAAACTGCCCCAAAAAATTTGTGAAAATTTCTTGATACGGACGTCTCGTGACATTTTCTCCTAAAATCCCTCAGTAAGGAGATAATTGCAAAGATTCGTGACATTACGATTAATTACCGATGGTGGAGACGATGGTTCCGACGAAGTGAAAGCTCCCGGAGAAGTCCCACCGCCGTCTCTTGTGGATTATTCCGGTCGCCGATGCATTGCTGTACGCGTACAAAAGCTCGTTGAGTCGCTGCGTTGCTTGGGGATTACTCCGCAGGTGGTAGCGACGAAAAACGTGGTAGACACGCCAAAATTCAGTGGCCTGATTGTTAATATTCATTGAGAATTATTAATCAAGTTCAGAGACGTGGGGGAATTGGTGGAGATTAGAAAAAGAATCCCAGAATTCAATATTGTTCATCGACAAATATAAAGCCATTTTCCCAATTGATGATCCTCCCAATTCACAAAATTTCACGAGGCTATTGATGAATTCTCCCGAACCACTTCGACACATTCGCAAGAATTATTTCTCTAGAATTATTTCCGGCAGTTGATTTCGAAAATATCTCTGGAACTCGTAATTTTTTTGAAAATTGTCAAGAGATCTTCTCTGCAATCCACAAAATTTACGCCAAAAAACATCTCGATAAATTTCTCTCAAAAGGAAAAATCCCAGAATTCAATATTGTTCATCGAAAAATATAATAAAGCCCTTTTTCCCAATTGATGATTTTTCCAATCCACAGAATTTCAAGGGGCTATTGACAAATTCCCCAGAACCACTTCGACACATTCGCAAAAATTATTCCTCTAGAATTATTTCAGGCTGTTGATTTCGAAAATATCTCTGGAACTCGTATTTTTTTTAAATTTCCTCCAAAAAAAAATCTCGATAAATTTCCCTCAAACTCTTTTTTTAAGATCAATATCTTTAAAAAAACATTCATCATTTTACACTTGTGACAATGATTGTTCCGGAGTTATTTCGTGTAGTTTTTGAATTTAATATTACCTGATGTAATTCAACTTCACTCTCAAGCGTTTGAAAGAGGAGAGCACCAGCCAGCATGTAGCAGACTAGAAAAATAGCCAGAAGCACGAATCTTATGTTGTCCTCTGCGAAAGCTCCAGACAGGCACATCACCGATCACTCTCATGACTCTGTTGATGCTCTTCACTGTCCGCAAGTCTCACTGCGGTGAATCAAGTTGAATTGAGGACACTCGCGCGCCGGTCACGCGCAAAACGCTCATTTGGAAGATATCACAGTAAAAAAATAAAAAATAAAAAATGGACCACAAAATATTAAATTCTAGCCCTTCATAATTCTATTAAGTCTATCAATAATAATTAATAAATTAACTTGATTGTCTTTAGAGCGAATTTGTTTGTTAAACCATCAAAATTGTCCTCTCCACCTAATTCTGTCAATTCTGTAAATGATCAATTAATTAACTTGAAAAAATCAAAGCAAATATTGAAAATATTAGAGTGATTTCTATGCATTCGCTTATTTCATGACGAAAGTTCATGTAAATTATCAATCTGCAAATTCACTTCAGAAATAAAATAATTCCTGTCAGAAATAATTAGAATTAAAAAAATGTAGAGAACCGAGCAAATCGTCATCGTTTAAATAATTTTATTAAGAAATTCAATTTCTGAATCATCAATTCTTAACTAAAAAATCATCATCAGAACTAATTTGTTCACTAAATTCTAAAAATTGTCCAAAACTCCAAAAACGTTAAAAACTTCAAATCATTTATTTGCAAAAAAAATAATTTTCAAATGAGACAAACAATAGATTCGCGAATCATTTAAAATTGTTTGGAAACCCTATTCGACTGATGAAAATGTGGGGCATGTCCATGCATCCCTCTCCTCCTTTTGACAGTTAAAAATAGTCAAGATTTCTCTGTATAGAGTATACAGCCATTGAATAGAGCATGAAGCTTTATTATTTCCTCACGCAAAGAGAATCGTTGAGTCCGTGTGATGGGTCACAGACGCCGTGTAAACGCCCCGAGAGTCATTAGGCCGTTAGATAAAGTTGAATTATTGAAAGCCACCTATGAATGGAATTTTAACCATCTCTCTTGACCTTGAAACCTTATCCATCCGAAAATACCTGTATGAATGACAACTCACTCGAAAAGAAGTAAAAATACCAACAAAGAAATTTTTCATCTACTTTTTAATGAAAATTGTATAAATAACAGTCTAGAAAACAATAATTTATCTTATAAAAATTTAACGCTTATAAATTTCATGTTTGGAAGTGTCTCTCGATCGTGAACATGATTTTTCTAACATAATCCAACAATTTTGTCCTTAAGGATATCTACATGGAAGGAATTAGTAGTAATACATTGGAAGGCAGTGGTTGTGGAATTAATCGTGTTAATTATCAGCGTTTCGGCTGAGGACCCTCTTCGAGTTTTCTCCAGACAACCTGCAATAATATTAACAAAGAATAATTAACAATTGATAGTTCATTATCCACAATTTTACTACATCGACGTAATTTCCTTTCTTCTGATAGTTTCTCAAAGTTAATGATTGAATTATCGATTGGTTCAATGATTAATAATTATTCAATTGTTACTCATTGTTAATCATTAATTATTAACAAACAATAATTAACAATTAATAATCCATTATCCTCAATTTTACGAAATTGACATAATTTTAGCCTCGAAATTCCACAGAATTATTTAAACAATTACTCAATTAGGGAAAGAATGTCAGGAGGCACTCATTTTGGAAATTTTCTTTTCTTCAAGAACTGTCTTCTATCATTTCCTCAAAATTGATTATTAAATCACTCCGATAACAAGCGATTCTGCAAAAATTCATCAACAGACATTTTCCACTGAAATTTTCTCTCCCCAAAAAAGTCTGACATTTTCTCAGAAGAAATCCCCAATTATTCATGTTAATAATTCTTAAAATAAATTGTACTTTTCGGGAGTATAATGACGGATGAAAACGTACGTTACACATTTCTCGAATGAGTGCCTTCTCCCCGTCGTGTCCAGCCTCTCTCTCCAGCTGTTCTCTGACTTCGAGAACCTGGAGAGCGCGAACAACGGCCTCTGGACGTCCCCCAAGGGGCTGATTCTCACTGGGGATGGCAGGTGGCTCCCAGAGAGGGTCTGAGGGTACTGGCACTGTTGCAGTCGCGGCTGTGGGGCCCTGAGGGGTTCTGTTCTGAGCCCTCGCTTGTAAAATACTCTTGTCCTCCTCCAATTGCTTCACTCGTTGCTCTAAACTCCTCACATACTGCATTGTTTGATCTGTGGGCATTTGAAAATAATCCGCTTTTGAATTTTTTGAAACGAAATTACACAATTTTTCTTCAGTTCTTAAATTGTTTTTATTGAAACAATTGTTCTTATTGATTAATTATCTAAATAACAGATATGGAATTGACTTATTTTTGAGATTTTTCAAGACACAATTGAACTTTAATTAAGAAATAATTAATAAAAGTCAAAATGAAGTGATAAAACTAAACAGTTCATTTTATTTTCGGATTAGTGTTCAGATATTCATCGCAAACGCATCTCAAAGTTAAATAGATTCATCGATTTTCTTTCATCGATCATTATTTTTGTGTATTGATCATATATTTAATCGATCGATTGTTCCGATTTCATGTAAATTATCAATCCGCGGAAAAAATCACTTCCAGAATAAAATAATACGTGTCATAAATAATTAGAATTTAAAAAATGTAGATAACTGAGTGAATTGTTACCGTTTAGATAATTTTATTAAGAAATTCAATTTCTGAATCATCAATTCGCAAAACGATTCGAAAAACAATATTCGCGAATCATTTAAAATTGTTTGAAAACCCTATTCGATTGATGAAAATGTTCATTTGACTTTCTGATTAATGTTTTGATATTCATCGCAAACACATCTCAAAGTTGAATAAATTCATTGGTTTTCTTTCATATATCATTATTTTTGTGTATTGATCATGTATTTCATGGATCGATTGTTCCGATTTTATGATAATTACCATTGAAGGTCGCAGCAGCGTTCCTTGACCTACTTGTCGGCACAGTCTCTTCCGCGTTGGTGCTGGAGCTCGAGCCATCCCCGTCGTCCCTCTGTCCCCCGCCTCTCTCCTCATCCAAATACAAACATAATTCCTTGAGTTCAAGGTTGTCCTTAATGAGCTCCTGCTGCTTATTATCCAACTGTCGGAGTTTATTTTGGTAAGCCGATACTTCCTGTCTCATAACACTTGCAGTGTATCTCCCGAATCTCTGCCACTCTCTCGCTAATTTCCGACCTTTCTGACGATCGTCGTCCAGGAAGCAGCAGAGGTCCCTCAACTCCTGGTTGTCATCGCTCAGCCTCTGATTTGCTTCCTTCAGTACTCGTAATTCACTCAGCTGCGCGAGATTGACATTAATAAATTAACGAGGTGTTAGAATTGAACAAGATTTTTTAAAGGGCAGATTTTCCCATTAAAAAATCCCATTTTGATTTTTTAATGGGCACATTTTTTGTTAATCTTCATAAAGTAACAGTTTCGGGGGAATTTTAAGGAATTTCGACAGCAAAAATTCACGATTTCTGTTCAATTATTTCATTAAAAGTTGTAGGAATCAGGAAAATTCAGGGATCCAGCGTAATTTGGGAGCGAATATTCATGTTTTGGTTTCTTTTGGTACTCGTAATTCGCTCAGCTACGCGGCATTGAAATTAATAAATTAACGAGGTGTTAGGATTGAACAAGATTTTTTAAAGGGCAGATTTTTTGTTAATCTTCATAAAGTAACAGTTTCGGGGGAATTTTAAGGAATTTCGACAGCAAAAATTCACGATTTCGGTTCAATTATTTCATTAAAAGTTGTAGGAATCAAGAAAATTCAGGGATCCAGCGTAATTTGGGAGCGAATATTCATGTTTTGGTTTCTTTTGGTACTCGTAATTCGCTCAGCTGCGCGGCATTGAGATTAATAAATTAACGAGGTGTTAGAATTGAACAAGATTTTTTAATGGGCAGTACTTTTTTGTTAATCTTCACAAAGTAACAGCTTCGGGGGAATTTTGAGGATTTTCGACATTAAAAATTCACGATTTGATTGGAGGATCAATGGAAACTGCAAATTTCGGTTCAATTACTTCATGAAAAGTAGTAGGAGTCAGCAGCATTCAGCGATTCAGCGTAATTTGGGAACGAATATTCATATTTTAGTTTCTTTTAGTACTCGTAATTCGCTCAGCTGCACGACATTGAAATTAATAAATTAAAGAATTCCCAGTGCATTTCTTGTATTTTTATAAAGTAACAGTTTCAGGGGAATTCCAAGGAATTTCGGTGTTGAAAATTCTCGATTTGATTGGAAGGTGAAAGGAAACTGCAAATTTCGGTTTAATTAGTCCCTAAAAAATACTAGAAACCAGGGAAATTCAGGGATTCAGCGTAATTCAGTTGTAAATATTCCTGTCTTGATTGAAAATTCAAGTAAATGAGGGAATTCTCGCCTCGAAATTTGGAATTCCATGATTTTACCCCCTTAAACCGAATTTCGCTTCTGATAAATCTTGCGAAATTTTATAATCAATCATCTTTTCTATTCCCACAATTTAAAAAGTCTTTCGTTAAATTCCTCTGAATCCAAGATGATTCCACAAATACAAAAAAAACACCTCGCCTCATGAAATCAGCTCTCCCCCCAAAAAATAAGCGCACAACTCACCAAATTTTGTATCTGTCGATTCTGTTCAGCAGCAAGTCTAGCAATATCGCTCTCAGTCTTCCTCACGAACTTGAGCATCTCCACAGGTCCCAATCTCAAAAATTCGTCGTCACTGATTCTGTTCCTCGTCGGTGGTTGGACCGTCACCCCACTCGGAGGTGGATACTGACTATTGGGTGATAAAAACTGTCCCTGAGGTACTTTGGACGGATAAAAAGCCGAGGAATGCAGGCTCGGGTTTTTCGGTGCCGTTACAAAGTCAATCTTGGGCGAGAGTTTTCCCTGACCATCTTTACCTCTAATCTGCCCTCCCTGATTACCCCCGAGTGCCCCAGATGCGATTAAACTCGGACTTATCAGACCGCTAGTTGGTACACCCACGTTACTATTGAAGTGCGGATTATTCTTCAGTATTCCACTGGGCTGAGGGGGCGGCTGATACTGCGGTGGTATCGGCTCACTCTGTTTACCAATCTGCCCTACAGACTGCCCGTTCTGATGCTGCTGTTGCGACTTACTTTTGGTATTTGACATTGTCGAAATAATATTCAGCAGCGGTCCAGGCCGCGTCCCATTTCAACCAGCAGCAATTCGCCTCAAGTCCTTTGACCCCTCGCACTCTTCAAATCTGGGTCATTAAACTCGTACGCGCGCGATTCCATTCACTTCGATCTCTCACTCCACTACTTTCGCGACAAATGGCTCGTTAGATTCATTCATAATGAATTACTCTGTCAGTCGAATAGTCGAATAGAACAATTGAAAATGCGATCCTCGACGCCGGCGACTCGCCTGCATCACGGGTGGAGCAATCGCGACGGAGAACTTTCAAATTTGTTGATTTTCTTATCGAAGAGGATGTGGGTTTTGAATTGATTGAATTAATCCACGAGATGATGAATTGTCGCGTCTTCATTGATGCACTAGCCACATATCCACCCACACACGCTTAATTATCTCGCGCCCGATCGACTAATTTACAAACGGAGGAACGTTTACTCCACCATTGATGACGTACGAGTGGATGGGAACCAGTTGATGACCGTTGGCTACACCAGGTACATCAATAAATAAATTAACAATGTGGACAACATGGCCGGGGCTTTGCAGAGGCGTCGATGCCTGGATAAAATGAGTGGTATTGAGTACGGGCTGAGTTGTAAGTGGTGGGAGACTGGAGGCAGTTGGGGAGAACTGTGGACGTTTCTTTGGGGGCATCTCGTTCAAAGCCGGAAGAGGTGTATTCAGGGATTGGCTGAAATATTCACTCGGCTGTTTTTTTTTCTTCTCTCGCTTTTGCATCGTGCGCCGCAGGTTGAGAACCAACCTGGTTTACCTGTCTCGATTTTACCTGCTCAGATGGGGATTGTTGAGGTGAGGATGGAGGGGAGAAGGAGAGAGAGAGAGAGAGGCGAGCGCACGAAAGACGATGGGGGAGAATCGCGCCCTGTTTGCAGTTTTTTACATCTTTCTGGAGGGGATTTGAGAGGGTTTAGAGTGCAGGGGGTGAATAATCGCTTTCTAAGGGTCATTTAGAACGAGAAGAAATAGATTCATTTATAGATAAGACTAAATTTTCCCATTTTGTTGTGCAACAATTTTTTTTATTTATGTGTATAAAAGTGTAAAACTTTTTCAACTTTTTGGACCTTATTCAAAATATATTTCCTTATATTTTGACTCTCAGACTTTGATCTTTATATTATTAAATAAGTCACCATTTAAATGAAAAATGAGTTTTTTCAATAAAATGGGCGAAAAGAATAATGAATAAAAGATACAAAAGAAGTGACACGTCCGCAGACTAAGAACAAAGATAAAAGAGCGATGAGAAAAGGAAGAGACGATCGTACATGAATTTAGTTGAGAGAGAGGAAAAGCACAAATACCAATAGCCAAGAAAATAGTTTTTTGAAAATTATCAAAAAAGGATTTTTTTTTGTGCCAAACATGCAGAGAGTGCGCCGGAATGAAAAATTCTTGTCGCAAAAATATTTGTTGATAAATTTTCCTCTATATGAGATATTTTCATCCTGAAAAGGCACCGTCTGGTGTGAATTATCCGCCTCTTGAGCCAAATATTTCATTGCTGTCGAAAGCAGAACAATTATTCATGTTTGAGACTTTCAAATTCGAACCAAACAAATTCGTTTTTGGCAATTTTCAACTAGCGATTTTGTTGGCCCAAACAAGACTTGTTTGACAACGTGTTTGTTTTTCTCTCAGTGTATCCGACATTTTTTATTCAATTTCATTACTTTAATAAAAAAAATGTCATGCAGCAATGCAATTGTTAAAAAATCTTATGAAATGGGGGAAAAATCAAAGAAACAATTCTAATTAAGTCAACATACAAATCTTTAATCAATTCCAACTATTTAAAAGATAATTTAGTTTTAATAAACATACTGCTTAGCCAGAGCTCGGAAAAACCTAGTCTTACGGATATTCGCAGCCTCCCTCTGTATCTCCTCATTATTATTAGAATTAAGTTCTAACAGTCCAATGATTTTAATCGCCAACTGCTTTCGGTGATGCTCTCCTCGTTTCGAGTGCAAGTGAATCAGAAATTCGAGGATTGTCACGTCCCATATGCAATGGTAGTACGCGTCCATGGCGTCGGCAGTCGCGCAGCTCTTCTGATCGCTCGATGCCATCTTGAACGCAAGAGAGTAATTCACGTCCTCCAGGAATTGACAGAGAACAGTGGCTTGGGTGTAGCACTGGAGATGTGCACAGCATTTTATCATGCGCCAGTAGACTGACTGCAGGGGACGGGGCACTTGCTGACTGAATAGATCACTGGAGACCATTATTGCTTCCAAGTAGTATTTTATCGCTGATTCGTAGTATCCCAGAACTGGGGAAAATAACATGATTTGAGGAAAAGAATTCTGAGTTGGACTCACAAATTACAGTAATTACAGGAAACTAAAGCGATAAAAGTGATGGGGGAGGAACGGAAGTAATTATTCTCTAGTATTTGAAAATTACTTCTGAAATTTCAAGTAAATTTTGACATTTTTAGCAATGACTAATTCACATGCATTTTTTACTGACAAATCACACAATTTTCAGTAATAAAAATGATTGAAAATTCGGACAATTATTACTCGAATTTTTCAACTATTAAAAATTTGATTATGTACAATAGCTAATTTTCAAAATGAGTTAGGAAACTCAAGCTTTTACTTTTTTCAAAATGAATGAGAATTTCCATGGATGACTGCCCTAAATTGCATTAAAATTCCAAACATTGAGAATTCAAATACAACTATTCCTTAAATTCCAAAATAAAATTAACAGTGCGATTAAGTGAAGAAGAGGTAACAAAATGAAAATCTCGAGAAGAATGGTGAATGTCTATCTTGGAAATATCCTTAAAACTGTCGGGTTTATCAAAGAAAATTGAAGAACCATAATTTAGCAAACAAATTACTCTTCACAAACTCACCAAAATTGAGATCACCCATGACCCTCAGCCACGACACATTAGTGGGATAAAATTTGAGCGCCTGTATCAGCAATTGAAACAAGAACTCCGCGATGCTCCTGATATTATACGAATTAGAATTGGGAATGCTGGCGGGCCAGAGTGCCAGATGTTGCGTATAAAGTTCCAAACTGGGCTCATCCCTCAGGACGTTGTGAAGCCTAACCAGCAACGAAATGACAATGCTCAACGCAGTGGGCTCCCTCAGCCGCGACAACGTCCCCGATATGCTCGCCATGAGATCCTTGTTGGAGCTCCCACTGCCTCCGCCCCCTGAGCTCGACCTCTTGAGTGGCTGGTCCCTGTTGGGTCCAAACGCCTGCAAAATCATGTCCCAAGCCTCCCTGGGGAACTTCTTGGAACCCTTGAACTTGACGACATCCTGACAAACAACACTGATTGCGGACGAGAACTCGCAGTGACTCCACCTCTTCTCGAGATTCGCGAGGTACTCCCACTCTCCCATATTCAACAAGAATACTGTGCAGTACTCGATGACCTCTTGTCTGGGAATGACCTGTTCACAGAGATCAATGGAAAATACTATTTCAGTGATGATGGTCAAATTATTAAAAAACTCTGAAACAATAAAAATTATCCTGAAAAATTTTAGGGGCAGGTGGGACAAAATGGACAAAAAATTATGCCACTTCATTAATTATTCAAAAAAGTCATCGAAGTTAAAAAAAAATGTCTATTGTGCCCCACTCAGGCCCATTCATTGGAAATGTTATCAAAATTATCGGAAGGATATGATTGATTATTCAAGTAATGAAGAATAATTTAATGAATATTATTGAAATGTTATAAATTAATAACAATATAATTATATTTCTCATATTTATTAAGTCAATTATAATTGGCTAAGTAAATAAAAGAATGATAATTCATAAAATCATGAATAAATGAGGAGAAAAATAATCCCCTTTATAATTGGGATTATTATATTTTATTACAATTGGTTGAATAAATTAACGAATAATAATTCACATAAACAAAAAATTAGCAAAACGATAATTCCATAGAATCCGCTCAATTGTTAACTTGAAAAAAAATGTTTTTATGGATTATGCTGTATTTTTCATAGCGATTCGCCCCTGTAATGGGTTTTATGCTCTTGGGTCTCGATCCACAATAAATAAATAAATTTGCGTATGCCTACCTGGTCAGTGGCCTGGAGGCTCCCCAGGCACTGTTTGCAGTCCTCCACGAGCTTGTTGGCCTCTCCCTCCGGGAGCTGGCCTGGCGGGACGCTATTCAAATAACTCCAGATGTCCACCAGGATGTACTCCCAGCTGATGAGCTTCAGCAGCTTGTACATAGGGTTCATTGGATTTTGAGAGTTCTTTTCTCTCTTCGTGTCTTGCTCGAGGGCTGTCAGGAGTACTTTGGCCCCTGCGAAGTCCTTGCAGGCGACTAGTTCCCTGCTCTTCGCCAGGAGGATGTACGCGAAGTCCTGGTAGAGACTCCTGGGGAGGGCCATCACAACACTTTGCAAGGGAATGGGTAATTCCCACCTGCTGCTGACCCTCCAGGGGGGATTCGTGGGGTTTTTTCCATCGAGGTTTATCAGGATCTCTCGGATGTCGTCTGGGTCGTAGGAGAGGGTCAGCTGACGCTCCAGGTCCGCCATGTTGAACCTCGGGCTCTGGGTGTAGGTGATCAGAGAGACTCCCCAGTCGTCGCTGAGGAGCAGGGGGGGAAGCTCGAGATCTGTTGGCGATCCCTCTCGATCGATTTCGGTGAGTTCACCTGGGGTGAAGAGGGCTCTGTATTTTTCGGTGGACAACAGGCGTTTTGGCAGGTCCGGGATGCTCGACATCATCACGAGGTAGAGGAGGTACCTGGAGATTCGTTTCTTGGCGGAGGGGGAGGGGCTCGCCAGGGCACTGTCGAAGGAGGCGAGGAGAACGTCGAGTCCTTTCGATTCGGGTGACTTCAGCTCTGTGAGGAAGTTGTTTTGGACTACTTCGCCGTCTAGGACCTGGAAGCAGTTAGAATTGACATGAATAATTTTGGATTTTTATTGAGAGGAACTTCTCTTGGTAATGATCAATTGGTGTGCGAATTTGGTACGTTAAAAGTGCAAAAATAATGGAGAATTTCTCGTTTGAGGGTTTCAACTCTATACCAAAATAAAGGTATTTGTCGAATTTTGTCTGTACGTGATTTCCTCGAGGTTTTGGAGATTTCACGTTTCTCTTAAATATTTCTAGGATAATTTATGATTTTGTTTGGGCTTAGCCAAAGTCTTGAATGTCTTGGAATTCCATTCTTCTCTTTTCAAAAAATATAAATTTTTGGAAATATTTCTCTTCATTAAAAATGGTAATATTAATTGTTCTTTTGAAACGTGTTGTGATGCAACAAACGTTTTAGGGAAGTTATATCTGAATTCAATGGATAATTTTGAGACATTCAATTAGAATAATGAATTATAGAAATCATGTTTTTATTGACATTTTCATGATTTTCATTGATCTTAAATCCAATGGAAGGTCAATGTCGAAAATTTTTATGGAACTGTAATTAATTAATCAATTCATTCTTCATTAAATTCTGCATTCTCTCATTTGTCATATCATCTCAAAAATGACGAATTTCATCTTCACGTTCTAATAATCCCATCCATGAATTACCTATAAAACCTCAATCAAAATAATTAACCTACGGACCTTTCTAACTAGATTCAAACACTGAATCTTCATAAGTAAATCCTTAGAAACGACGATCTTCCGATTGATCAATCCCCCCTGTATATCGAGCTCCAAATTGTCCCTGTAGATCATGGGAATCTCTCGCTGCTTATTATCCTCCTCCAGGATCTCGACGATATTTCGGTACTGATCTTTGACAGAGGCATGAAATTGCTGCGTCAACCCCTGGGTCACCCCAGGGATCCTGACGTTGGTGGCGTGACAGTAGCCCTCCAGGTTCTCCTTCTGGACTCTGCAGTAGAGCAAGGTTTCCCCTGTGTTCAGAGTGTCGAAGAGTTCCTTAGCCAGGGAGACGTGGTACTTGACCATCGAGTACTCCTCGCGCAAGAGGTGGAACGTGGCCAAGTCGTAGTGAATCTGACACTTGAATTCCTCCACGGAGATGCTCCTCATGTTCTCCCAGTTCTGTTTTATCTCGGTCGTGTCTTCTGTGAGTATCTGGAATGTGTCGAAGGTCAGGACTTTTGGGTTCAGGTTCGTCATCTGGAGGACTGTGTTGAGGACCTCGATGCTGTAGGACACCTGCATCTCAACTTTTCGCATTATGTCGTCTATGAGGGCTGGGGGGACACCAATGTAGAAGAAGGAGGGCTCCTGAATTCCGGGACTGTGCAGAAAAAATGAGAAAATATTCAGTGGGAATTATTCATTTTATTTGGGGGATATCTACGCTGTTCGATTTTCTTTTAATTTGCGTAGCAGTTGCATTCATATTTGCAACATTGTGGTTTTAAAGTGAATTTAAGGCCCAATCTTTCGTGAAATTTCTTATTTTTCTTGAAAAATCGTTAAGAATTGAATTTTTTCATTGACATTTCATCGAAATTATTCATATTATTCCAGGGAAATGTGATTCTGATGCATTAATTAGGCGTTCCGAATAATTCAGTTGATGTTTCAGGGAAAAATCTCAAGACTTTTTTATTCAGAGTTTGATTCTCTGAAAGAAAGCATTATTGCCATTCCTGTCTGGAGCTAGAAGAGAAAGAAAGTAAAAATATATTTTTCGTAAATTTCGTTAATTTTACGTGATAAAATTCTGTACAAAATTTTCACCTAGAGCTCTTTAATTAGTAATTATCAATAATTAAAATTTTTCACACAATTTATTTCGTCATAACCTGCATTATTTCATGAATTCTTCTATGAATACGGTGAAACCCAGCATTTTTGTAGATCAACGTCAAAAAAATTTCTGGTTGTCTATGAAATTCTTAAAAAAAAGTTTTTCAAAAATTTCTGTGAAAATCCAGATTTTTATTCATAAAAATGGAAATTTGGAATTATATTCTAATAGTTATGGACTTACAGATGAATCAAATGCGTCTTATTCTGTTTACTATTTAACGCCCTGTTGACGATAGCCCTCAGAGTCCACCTGTGATACAGAACAATGGTAAATAGCAGCTGATCGCTGACGGATTCCAGAGGGAACTCCAATAGACTAGGTATCTCCACCATTACGTCTCCAGTCACATAGAATAGGTCCTGCAGAAAAGTTAGTTGCATTGGCAGTGGCAATTTCCTCTCGAGAATATCCAGATCCCATTTGAGGTGAGCTGCCACTTTTAAAGACAGAATTTTCAGGGCTACACTTTTATGAGACCACTTTCTCGTAACTGTCCCATTTTCTAGCTGCTCTGGGTCGATTATCTTCACGTCGTTGTCCTTCTGGTCGAGATTTATCGACATGAATTTTATCATCAGGTCTGTTGGTGATGGATCTAGAGGCAATGTTGACAATTACGAGGAAAGTTGAAAGAATGAACGTGGAAGGAATTAATCCCTTGAATTTTTTTCATGAGGAATTTATTGTTTAAAATATTTGACAAAAATTTTAATTGTTAAATTTTCTGAAATTTGTCGAATTATTTACGATGGGTGTGATATATCTAAAACAAGTGTCAAAAATTATGAGAAAAATTCTTGGAATGAATGTAGGGGAAAATTAACTTTCAGTTTGTTTGACAAAAAAAACTTGAATTCATCAACGAAAATAGAATTTCATGACAATGCTTTTTTTCAAAATATTTTGCAACAACTTGAATTTTAAAATTTTTTAGAAAGAGATGAAATAAACTTTCTTAATTCATCAATACGATGCCAACGGGTCCACTTTTATTTTAAGGTCCGGGTGGATTATCTTTCGAGCGTTATCTCGCTTGTTTTTCCATCTTCACAATGTAAAATCTATCACAATTCCCATTGGATTGTACATAGCGAATGGATAATTTATCATGATAACTAACGATCTGACAGCCACTAGGTACATCAAATTATTAATTTGCAATTGCCTCCCTATTGGCTTTATCTCCCAATACTATTCAAAAACGCTCTTTGAAAATGTTCAGCTTTTTTTCAACGTTTTTTTCATTGCACAATCATAATTTTTGGAGACTCCAGGGCAATGTAAAACTGAATAGAGCAATTATAGATCATTTCAGATCATCAAAATAAAAAAAACAACCAAGATCCCTTAAAAAATCCCTCCAAAGCTAAAAAAATCGTTCAACTTCACTCCGCCCTCAACTTTATCAACCACTAAACCGTTCTATTATCCGAACCCCAAACTCCCCGCGCACCCACCTGGGAAGGACTTGGAGATATGCACCTCCAGCAACCCCGGGTTCAGCAGGAACTCAAACCAGAGAACCGTGTCCGGCGATATGGGGACAGTTCCCGGTCTCAGCAGGTCCACATCCATCATCGTAATCCTCCCCGCGCCTCCCCAAAATCCCCCGAGTCCTACGCTCTCCGAAGATGCCCTAGCCCGACTTTTCGAGTCGAAAAACCGCTCTCATGTGAACAAAACGCTCCAAAAAAAAACCCGCAGCACTCCCGACGTCAACACAAGGAGACCCTAACCTCCAGTCCTCCCGACCGACAACGACGATCCCTCAGATCCGATCAATTAGCCCCTCATGTATAGATATTCCAAATTTTTATTTTTTTCCTCATTGAAGTAGTTTTGAAAAAAATTGCGAGCTAATAAAAACCATTTGCTAGTTAGTACTTTTTTTA